ACCTAATCTAGACCTGATTAGACTCGAGGAGATTTGCTGCCTAAATTGATCTGGCGATGTGAACGCAGCAGAACACCGGCCAATTTAGTAACCTAGGTTAGCTATGTAGGGGATCTGGCCTAGTTGGGGGCCAGAGGATTGATCTACTTGGCGGAGTCGAAGCCGCAGCCAGCATTAGTGGCGGTGCACCCACGGGCTATGTAGGCACAGCAATGCAAAAAGCACAAAATCACCAGGGCGGCGATCAGTTAAACTGCGTCTTACGCCACCCACTGTCATGGTTATGTAGCTCTGTTCATAGAGAATAAATGGCTATACTCCGTACTGCTAAGATCATTGATGATGTGAGCAAGAGGGGCATCCATACGGTGTCGTGTAAATTCTGAGCCGGCTCATGTAAGCGCTGTAATTTCTATAAGTACAGTACTTCCGTATTCTCTATAAACTTCAATTTTATACATATATGCCCTATGGGAAAGATAGATACAGTGATGAGATTGGAAATCTTCAACTTGTCAAGTCGAAGAAAGGTTTTCTGAGAACCCTTATTGCATTGAACACCTCCAGCCCATGATCCAGGGCTCTTAGTAGGCTGCCAGGTGCTATTTATAGCATCTTCTAGGCTGTAAGGTTCCACAGGAATACAGTGCCGAGTGGCGACGAGACACTGGTCTTGACTGATCGCTCCTTAAGAATCAACGGCTTCCTTCGATGATACAGCAACGAAGAATACTAGACACAGCTCACTTGATCTGGGCTGCACTTCACCAAAACGGCCAATATGGATATCGAGGCCTGGAGACAACATCTCTACCACCAAACACGGCTAAAAGAGAAGAACGGCCGCATTCGTCTGCTCACAATTCAACCGCGACAGTACGGAGCATCCAGACCGGAAACGCTGCCTAATAGCATACACTGTTTCCTCAGACTGGCCGAATTGAAAGAACATCCACCCTTCACAGTCATCTCACACCGCTGGCGAGCAACAGACGCCATAGACGAGACCAAATCCGTTCTCGTAAACGGCGCTGCGGTGCCCGTCTCGCCCGGTCTATTCTCAGTCCTCTCTCATGTCCAGAAAGAGACAGACCCCGTCGTCGTCTGGCTCGACGCGCTCTGCATCAACCATGCCGACGACGGAGACAGGGAGAAATCCACGCAGGTCGCGCAATTAGCACAGATTTACGCCACCGCCGAAAAGACGCTGATATGGCTGGGCGCTGCACGAGAGCATGAGCAGAGCGATGAGGCCATGAATGTCCTACGGCGCCTGTCTGAAGAACAGCTCACGCTTAGTGCGTATGTAGCTAATTGGACGCCGCAGCTCGGCCAGCAGCTCGCGCAGAAGATCCTGCCGGCGAGATTCGTTGGCTCGGGGTCTGCAACGTCGGCTAGTGGGAGTGGAGGTGCAGGTGGAGGTGGAGGCGAGGAACCGCGCGAACTGCAGCAAGAGCTGGAGGCGCTGCGGACGCCGCTCAAGGCTCTCCTGGAGCGCGACTACTGGACGCATCTGTGGTCTCTCGTCGAGCTGTGCCTGTCCAGTCGGGGCCTCGTCGTCTGCGGCCGACATGGTCTCGCCCTCGACCAGTTCTCGTCTGCTGCTAGGGCGCTCGACCATATTATCAACCACCAGACGTACTCGAAGTGGCTTGCGTCGGCCACGAACCTAACCGCCGCTGCTGCGCCTAGTAATAGTAGTAGTGCCGTGCTGAGCGGCGACGAGGTCTCCAACCTCTCCCAGTCCGCGGCCCTGCGCACGCTCGGCCGGCGGGATGAGTACCGCCGGGACGCGGACTCGTGGCTGAAATCGCCTGATCATCCGCTGTTCACGCTTCTCAGCCGCTTTTTTGCTGTTCCGGCGGATGTTCCACAGAACCACAACCACAACCAGAGCCAGAGCCAGAACAAGGATAAAAATGGGAATGGGAGGGGGGATCAAGATCTTCTGCGCATCGACGACGCGCGCGAGCGCGTCTTCGCCCTCGCTTGTCTGGCCACCGACACCGCGGACCTCGGCATCGCGGCCGACTACAACAAGGACGTGGACCAGGTGTACGCGGAGACGTCCGCGGCTTTCCTGCGCAAGAACCCGCGCGTACTGCAGCTTGCGCGTGGCACACGTTCCGCAGAGAGGAATAAGGCTTCGTGGGCCATCGATTGGTCCGACGTGCACCAGCCCCTATCAACATACTTCGCGGAGCAACAACAACAACAACATATAGGGCAGCAGCTGTATCGGGGCTTCAACGCGTGCGGTCCAGCGGATATCCGCTTTTACCGCGCCGATACAAGCACGAAAGGTGAAGTGGCCCTGAAAGCCGGCGTCGTGGACACTGTTGCGGATCTCGGCGCCGTTTATGCACCTGATGGTGATGGTGATGGGGGGCTGGGGACGCCGGACCAGCAGCGCGCGTATTTGGAAGATATCAAGAGATTGTGGGAGGACTCGACGCAGTCGATCTCCTCGCCGTACTTCGCGGAACAGGCTGCTGTTGCGCTGGCGAAGATCCCTGTGGGCGATATCGAGGCTGTGAATATGGGTACTAGTAGTAGTGCGGGTGCTGGTGGTAAGGGGGTAGGAGTGGCTTCGCGCGCAGGGACGGTTACCGTTGAGGCGTATAAGAAGACCGTTGACACACTGTTTCCTACTGATGATTCATCGTCTCCCCCGTCCGATGATGGTGACGATGATGATGATGACGACGATAATGGGGGCGCTCCCGCCAATACCAACACCAACACCAGCACATCCGCCACGGCACAAGAAAGCGCAGCTCCGATGCCACAAACCGCGAAGTCAGAACCACACAAACCCAAACCCGCACCAGGCCCAAGCATGCCGTATCTCACAGCCATGGCGCGCATGGCAGGGCGCAGGCCCTTCCGGTCGCAGAGCGGGTACGTCGGGCTCGGGCCCGCGGACCTCGCGGTCGGGGACACGCTCGCGATTCCGTATGGGTCGGCTGTGCCGTTTGCGTTCCGGGCTGCTACTACTACTACTGGAAACGGAGACGGAGATGGAGATGAGGGTGATGATAAGAATGAAGATAAAGAAGACGAGCACAAAGATGAGCGCGAGGATAGGGATAAGACAGCGCGGCTTCTGCGCTTAGTCGGCGAAGTCTATGTCTTCGGCATCATGGACGGCGAGTTCATGAAGGTGCATAGACAGGAGTCTGTGTTGCGGATCGTCTAGGTTAGACGGACTTAGAGTACTTAGTTACTTTATTGGCACTTCGTTAGGAGTTTGAGATTGGTATATTATATAAATATTTCATGTTTTATCATTCTATAGACGGTGGATGGGAGATGGGGGAAGGTAGCTGGCTGGTCGGCTGGCTGGTTAAGACTAAGACTGTGATACCATTTTCTAAGTTATGATATGAAGTAATAATACAATAGAATTTATATACTATGAATGTATGTGTATATAACCTCACCAGTCCTTCTTAGTCGCCCCTAACTTAGGCTACAGCTATTAATTATACTGTAATAAAGAGGATGCTCGCTCGCGCTTAAGCGGAAGATGGCATGCACTGTCGCGTAGATTGTTATGCCTGGAACGTACTTACATCAATCACGCGAACACCGAAAATAATACATGTATATATCTATCTACCGATAGCCCGCGATCCGGTAAGCTACAACGAACAAGATTTCATCATCATGGTTGATGATAGACGCGATATATGTAGCCCTAGATGCTAAGGTTGATCTAATTACCTCTTCCCCATACTACTGCATAGAAAAAAGTCCATGGTACAGTATATAAATATCAACAACTAGATTGAGTATTCGCTTGCGAGATAGTCGTCGCAAAGTCAAAAAGATAAAATTGCTCTATCACTTAATACTGGTAGCAAGAGGCGTTGCTACTCATACATGCATACACTTACGGGCATATGACTAACTTGCTCGTTTGAGCATTCACGCCCAAATGGCTGGCTTTACAACTAATTACCTACTTGCTTAATAAGGCCCATATCCGTCTAAAAAAAGAACACACAAACGGATTCGCTCACAGGCGAAAAAAAAGCCTTTGCCTATCGTCTTTCAAACAAGGGCTCTCTACTCTACGAGCAAGGTATGAATCGTATCACACGGTATCAAATCGCCGCGCTGGCAGCGCACCTCTGTCAAAGAGATCCTGAATGCCGGTGCGACGACTGGATAATAAGCGCATTATGATAGTACGAGTATTTTCCCGTCGCGTTGTATGTATAGAACTCAATGCAGGTATTGGGGCGAGTAGGGTGAACGCTGAAGGGAGTCATGTCATGGGAGAGTAGAGGGAAGTGTACGAAGTAGCGTATATTGAATTTGTGATAGGAGCCAACATGTCAGTAGCATTCAATGATCTAGGCATCAGTGGTTTAGTGGTAAAATCCATCGTTGCCATCGATGGGCCCCGTGTTCGATTCACGGCTGATGCATAAATTTTTCAACTTTTTTTTCTTTTTCATTTTGCTTAATTCCTGTGAATAGTCATACTTATTTACGCGTTCTACATTTAATTTCGCTATGATTGTCACCTAGAAAATTTCGTCTCTGTTGTACCGCGAAGAACAATGGTACTAATACGCAGTGAAAGCAGGAAGTGGTTTTTTGTTGCGGGAGCAGGTGTAGTTAAACGGACGACGCGTTCAACAAGCTACTCACATGGAGGTAGTAGGCACTACGTCTTGCAGCCCGAAAAACATTGATTCCAATATGAACCGCAATTGTAGACAGCATTAGGCAATGCAAAAATGGCAATTGGATAAAAGGGCACTGGTGCTGTATTCTTGCGTTGACACTGATCACACCTCTTCTTCTCTTGTTCTTGCCCTCGCTCCGGTGCGAGATTCCTCACACATCACCAGCTTCTTCGCCATAATTCGCCGTTCCTTAACAAGCGAGAGCCTAGCACAAAAAGTCATTCAAGCACAAATCGAACGAACATGCAACAAAACCCGAGGAAGAAACCTCAAAAAAATTCATGCATCCCGGAGAATGGATGCCCACTACTGGAGTCGAACCAGTTGCCTCCTCATTACTACTATCAGGGAGTCAGTATCTACTGTAATTATTACGATTCATCGGGGCATGGGAACGTACGTGAGGCGCTCTACCGGTGAGCCAAGCGGGCGAGCGGATGGGCGGATTGTGTGATTTTTCGGCTCGCTTGTTGTGGACTAAGGTTAAGGGTACGTATGTACTGTGTGGGAAGTGGATGGTGTTACGTTATGCAGTGGATCTTCGGTTGCTAATTGAATTGATCTGTTTGATCGTTAACGACGTACCGCGGAGCCGGTTAGATCTAGGTTGAGTAAGAAAAAAAGGCAAGTTAATAGGTATTGCAACCGCAAGCCTATGGCGGATATCCTTGAACTAGACCTGAGTAGTTGCAATGCTATGGGAAGTCTTTATCACCACGGAACGTTTTATTTTCTTTCAAATTATTATGCATGTATATATCCAGCTATCGGCAGGCCTAACAACGCCGACGTATTGACAAGGCAGGATGGACGTGTTCTTCCTCGCATCATCAATTTCTATGTTTACATAAGTAGGTACACGCCGGTAATCCACTGGTGATTATCCAGCAATTGTAATAGCAGAAATTTTGTCATACATTTACCTTTTCCCTGATCTTCCCCAACGCCAGAGCAAAAACACCATGTGGTATCGAAATACAGATATAGCAGTAGCCAGGCTCTTTTCGCAAGTAAAACACGAAACATCTAAAGCGCCTTCACAGCCGCAAAAAACGGATTCGCAAGCAATCTCTCATCAGCCATAACCAGCTCGCGCATACGCCTGACCATGTCCTCTTTACTCATCTCACCAGCGCGGACATCGTCCTTCCACTTCACAAGAACATCTTTCAGCCTTGCGCTGCCCTCCTCGACGTCCTCTTTACTATATTTCAGGCCCAGCGCGGGGTCCTCGTGCTTGGCCGTGAAGTCCTCGAGCTCGTCGGCCTTGCGCTTGGCCATGCGCACCACCTTGTCCGGGAAGCGCACGAGCTCCGCCACGTGGATGCCGAACGACTGGTCGCAGATCCCGACCTGTACCTTGTAGAGCAGCGTCACTTCGCGCTTGGTGTTGTTCTCGTTCTCGGCTGGCGTTGTCGTGCCGTTGGCCTGTTCGGAGCCCGAGATGTGCGCTGTGACGTGCAGGTTGCGTACTTGGGGATATTGGTCCGCGAGCGCGGTGAGCTCGTGGAAATGCGTGGCAAAGGTGGCGAAACAGCCGATTTCCTTGACGATGTGCTCTGAGATGGCCCATGCCAGGCCGAATCCATCATATGTCGACGTGCCTCGACCTAATTCATCGATAATGATCAAGGACTCATTGGTGGCCGACTTCAGGATGTTCGCCGTCTCGAGCATTTCCGCCATGAATGTGGAGACGCCCTTCAGTTGTGAATCACTTGCGCCGACTCGGGCAAGGATAGAGTCGAAGATGGTCAATTCGGCCTCGGAGCAAGGCACAAAGCAGCCTATCTGTGCCATGAGAGCGATCACACCGATCTGACGGATATAAGTTGACTTGCCTCCCATGTTTGGCCCCGTGATGATCAAGAACGAAGACTCGCCTCGCGTCATCTCGACGTCGTTTGTGATAAACTGGATATCATCTTGCATCTCCATGCACGGGTGACGTGCTTCCTTCAGAACAGTCGACCCTTGGCCTCGTTCATGCATCTTTGGCCTCACATAGGAGGTAGGGGCATGAACTGAGCAATGAGCGAACGATACAATGACATCCAGGTGGGCTAGTACACCAGCGAGCTCTTCCAACACAGGACAATACGAGGCCGCTACACCGACGACTTCGCTGACCAAGCTACTCTGAGTTCTGTTATAAGTCTGAGACAGCTGATCGAACTCCCGCCGGTAGCCTTGTAGTGCCTTCGTAGTAAAGTAGACACCGTTTTTCTGGGTGGAGCATTCTTGGTACCTGGTGTTGTTGCGTATACAGCCCGCCTCCGTCCTTGTCAAACGCATGCACCAGCCGTGAACCTTATGATTTTCCAAGAATATTTTCTTGTTCTCTTCCTGGTTGAGATCATCTGCAGCGTTGCGGAATTCTCTGTCCATATCCGATCGAAGTTTATCCAGCTTCTTTCGAACGATGCGTAGACCGTCATCAAATTCAGGCTTGATGATAAACTCATGATTGTCGAGCGCATCAAGGTCGACCGTCGTCTCCACCATCTCGGCAAGTTTTCCCAGACTGTCGCTAAACGTCTTCAATTTGTTGGTATATGCTTCGTCGAGCGGGTCTTTGTAGACCTCGTCCATGACTCCATCCAACGTACCCAAAAACCCAGGGAGCCGAATGACGACTTGATAGGCTCTGACTACATCTTCTAAGTTGGCTTTATTGCGCTGAAACCGCTTTGACAAGCGGTAGAGATCAGGAACCGATCTGAGGTGTTCTTCCTGCATAGTCTGCCGCAGTTCCGTGTCATTGACGAAGGCTTCGACTAGTTGCTGCCGGCTTTCAATCTCTTTCTTACTCATCAGTGGCTGCTTGAGCCACTGCGCAAGTAAGCGGCTCCCCAAGGGGGTTTTGCAGTGGTTGAGCAATCCGAACAAACTCATATTCTTGGACCCGTCGCGCGGACCAGGCATCAGATTCAGGGCCTTCAAGGCGGCGGCGTCCAATTTCATGAATTGAGCCAAGTCATGTTGGTATAGCTGGTACTGGCCAAAATTAGACGGATCCTGCATCACGCCGAGATACTTGATTAGTGCTGCCGCAGACCCCATAGCCAGCTTAAGGTCTGTCTGGGGGAGCATGGCAGCCGAGCGTTCGTCTTTGAGTAGTCGTGCTAGGTCTTGCTCGATGTCTTTGATGCCGAAATCGCCAACCGGCCTCTCGGCGGCAGCGATCCCAACATTATCAAGAATATGACGTAGTTTGGCCAGTTCGGGATCTCTGTCCTTGTCGGCCTTATCCATCTGAATTAGGCATTCCTTGACGCCGAGCTGGATGAGCAGAGCCTCGAGGTTGGAGTATAGATCGTTGTCGAGAAACTCGCTGACGCCAAGCTCTCGGACACTGGCATCGGCAAAACAGACGCCAACGCTCCTGGCCTCAGAGGCCTTGGCAGAGATCTTGACGGCGAGGATCATAGGGGCCGAGTCGAACTGGCCACCGAGCTCGTCCTCGACGTCTTGCAGGTTTCCGGGCGACGCCTGCTTGACCACCTTCCAGTTCATGCGCGAGCCCGTGTTGGCAAATATCTCGACCCGCTTGCCCAGCTTGAAAAGGGCCTCGCGAAGGAACTGGCGGAAGACGGTGACGGTCATGGTGACGGAGGCCAGGCCGCTAGCATCGTTGCGGCCGAGCTGGCGAACGACGGAGGTAGTCTTGTAGACCTACTCGAAGGGTGAAGGGTTAGCATATCGTGGTAATAGCTAGAGGGGTATAGAGGGCCACAGTGGGAGGTATCGGGTTAAGAGGACGTACGGTGCGGGCAATGAAGTTGGCATCTTCGCCGTGGGCCGTGAACCAGTCGCCGCGATCGAAGATGCGCACGGTCTCGTCGCCTACGGCCGGTAATGATTTGAAGTACCGTATGAAGCCATGCTCGTCGTCAACCTGTATTGCAACAGTCAGAGAGCTTGACCATCAAAGGAAAGGTCAAGGAGTTAAGCTCGCACCTTGAGCTCCGGTCGTGACGACATGTTGAATTAGAGTAAGTCGGAATAGGTGGCGTATAAAGGGCGAGGAACACCGCCCATAAGACGGCGAAGATAGCGCTTTACAATGTGGAACACTTTGCTGAATGCATCAAATAACAATCATGTATCGAAAGGGACTCATGCATTCGGGTAGTTTGGTATTAATGGGAGAAGTAGTACGGGGTATGCAGAAACAGGTGGTAGTAGATGAGACAATGCTAGGTTAGAGTATAATACTGCTATACTTCGTACAGCTGATAAGATAGGCGATGTCGCGTATTGAACATCAATTAAAGTTGGAAGACGCGACGGGACGCGCTTGCTGGGACCCCTGGCTGGCTATAGCTACCTACTATTAGTGCAGTGCATGTCGCAGGGTGTCGTTGCTACCATAGCCACGGTGCCTGTCCTAGGTTGCACTAGTTACCGGCAGGGCGGGTAGGCGCGACCTCTACAGCGGGGCATTGCCAAATGAAAACCTGTCGCAACCAGAGCTTCTACGACCCCAGCTCAAGTTTCGCTCTCCAACATACCACTCGTCAAGCATGGTGAGCACCGCCGACATCGTTGCACGCCGGTGATTTCGCACGTATTGGATCATCGAATTAGAAAGTCTTGCCCAACATGGAGTCGTCAGATTCTGTGACTGTCAATAAATCTGCAGCTGATGACGAGGTTCTGCTCGATCGCCCCGACGCGACAAGCGGCGTGTCCAATGAGAGTCGAGGTGTGAAGCGACCTGCTGAAGACGACCTCCGCGATTCTATTGGAGACGAGAACGAGAATGAGGACGACGGCGACGGCGATGGCGAGACACAAACCCACGAGCCAGACGAAGAGGTTCGCATGAGCCAAAGCCAGCTGAAGAAGCTAAGAAAGAAGGAGAGATGGGAGGGAATGCGGGATGAGAGACGGATAAAGCGCAGAGACAAACGCCACAAGCGCCAAGACCGGAAGCGTGCGCAGAAAGAGGAGGAGATAGCCGCCGCCGCCGCCGAAGGCAGAGAGCCCGTCCTGGCCAGCGATCGCCGGTGGACCACGCCCCGTGTCAAAGTCCCCGTTGCCATCATCATCGATTGCCAGTACGAAAAGTACATGCAGGAGGGAGAACTGATCTCACTCTCAAGCCAGGTGACCAGGGCCTATGCTGACAACAAGGGGGCTCGCCATCCTGTCCATCTGTCCATCAGCTCATACGGCGGCTATATAAAACAGAGAAACGAGACGCTACTGGAAAACCAGCATTTGAAATGGAAGGGTGTTCGCTTTTGCGAAGGCGATTTTGTTCAAGCGGCTAGCGAGGCAAGAGAGGACATGGCTGGGCCAAGAGGGGGCGAAATCATTGATCTACTGAAACAGGGTTCGTCTGGCGAGCCTGGCTCATCTGCAGAGAAGAAGAAGGCTCAGTCTGCTCCGATCCCCGAGCCGGAGGCCGAAGATGTAGACAAAT